GTGTGTGTCTCTCTTTCTCTCTCTCTCTCTCTCTCTCTCTCTCTCTCTCTCTCTCTGTCTGTCTTTCTCTCTCTCTCTTTCTCTCCCCCTCTTGCTTGCTAAACACGGTAATTATGGCTTCTGGTACGTTTATTGCGTAATGTTTTCAATCACTTTGATCTTCCTGGATGTCCCCTTGTCCTACCTAGAATTTTTTTAATGGTACCGGGAAATTTCCGGACTTGAAATAAGCGGCCACTTTTCGAGCGACCTGAATTGTATCTTTTAGTACAATTCATAAGTAGCCAGGCTAAAGCTGGAGATGAAAACAAGTGAATGATTCCTTCCTCCTGCGTTTCTTTTTCCAGTTTTTGTTTTGTTATTTTGTTTTGTTTTTTTGTTTTGTTTTTGTTTTGTTTTTTGCAAATAATTGTCTCTCCTGCAGCTACTGCTGCTACTGTTGAAGTTGTTGTTTTTGTTAGTGTCGTTGTTGTTGTCGTTGTTGTTGTTGTTCTTGTTGTTGTTGTTCTTGTTCTTGTTCATGCTGCATTTGTTATTGTTGTAGTTGTAGTTGTTTTTGTTGTGATGATGATGTTGACGACGATTATTATATATTATGACAATGATGATGACTATTATTATCATTTGGTGTTGCAGATCCGTTGTTGAGCAATCAAGACAGCAAAAAGGTTCCGCCTTCGGCAAGTTTTGCTCCGTCCCATTCCTGTGCCCAGATCAGCCAACCCCTCCGCTCAACACCACCAACAGATCACGTGTGTCTGTATTCCGGGTAGTGATACCTTCACCCCCACCACCACCAGCAGCAGCAGCTCTCTCACTGTCTGAGATCTAACCTCGGCACCACCGCCCTCCACCTTCGCTCAAACCCACCACCAATCTATCATCATGTCTGCTGAATGGCAACACGGTCTCTTCGGCTGCTTCGACAACATCGGCCTGTGCATCATCAGCTACTTCGTGCCCTGCTACCAGTTCGGCAAGAATGCTGAGGCGATCGGCGAGTCCTGCTTCACCTGCGGCTTGGCCTACATCCTGCCCATCGCCAACATCATCGCCGCCCTCAAGATTCGCGGCAAGATCAGGGAGCAGCGGGGTATAGCCGGCTCCACCTTCAATGACCTGTTGCTCATCTGCTGTTGTCCACTCTGTACTTTGGTCCAGGAGGCCCAAGAGGTCCAGGTCCCTGGCGCCCAGTCCATGGCCAGAGAGTAGGACCAGAGCGCTCGGAGCTAGTTCTAGTATTTCAATTAATTGTTTCATCTAAAGCTGTTAACAATTACTATTATTATTAAATTTCATTGGATACAAATGTTATTATTTTACTTTTTTTTTGTTCGTTTAATGAACTCTCCATCGTATAACCGTATAATTTTCATTTTTTATACTATTTTTAAAACAAGAAGACAAAGCATACTCTGTATTTTCTCATCCTTAATCTCGTGAAATGCCCAAACTGCTCTCTAAGTGACTGCTGGGCGTATGGTACGTGTATGTCCATGTATGCAATGTATTTTGTTATTTCCATACTCTCCGCTCACAATACCTTAGCTCATTGACCAACTGACACCACGTGCTGCCTGAATGTGAACTTGTTGGTAGATTCTGCCTGACCGAGTCTGGGAGTACAAAGATTATAATCTATATTTGAATTAAGTAGGTATAGAGATCTATCACTGTGTGCATTTCTGTCTTTTCATTTGCATCGCGTCGTTGTCATTGTTTGACTGTGAAGTATTTAAACGTCAGTCACTTTTGTATGTAAAAATATGACTGCCTGACTGTAGCATTCAGACATCAGTCACTGTTGTGTATAAAGATGCCATCAGAAAGTTTGGTACCGTACTTGTACAATATATACAACACGACCTCTTGAGTTAAGTTCCACCTAACATCTTGTAGCAGTTACTTCATGCAAGGAATGATGTATGAATTAAGATGGTTCTGAGGGCATTGGTTGTATAAACGACTAAAGGATGATCACATAAATCAAATAGCAAACATCTCATGCTTCATAAAATGTGTACATGATACATAAAATTAAGCCCAAATAATTGGTCATCAGCACTTGCAGAGGGCTCGATATTATCTACGTGTCAGTTTCAAGTAGGATCACACCAGGATTGGATGTGTGGGTGGTCATTCAAATCGATAGACTACATGTTAGCCTGGAAGCCTGGGGCGTCAGTAATCTGTGACCACAGGATGTCAAACACCGAGTATTGAATGAAACAAGAGAGATCAAATAACGTTACTCAGTAAGAATTGGGTTTCTGGGTCACTAAAGTAAATGAAAATATTGATTCTACCCTGCCCCAATCTCTAACAATGTGTGAGTGAGTTAAGTAATAGCCTACTCACGTTTTGATTTGAGTTGTTGGGAAGTCGAAGTAACGTCTGTGTAAAAAGCAACTGTATACATGTGGCGCTTGCGGTCAAGGCGAGGCATGTTAACCCTTTTCTGCTGCCACGAGAAGACATAACATCATCATACTGTATTACCATCAGAGCGAGCACACGGCGGATTGGAAGTGGCTTACACTACAGTTTCCACTGTCAGATTGTTTTGCACGTCCAATGTTAGATCAATATCGGATGCCTGCAGTGTACCCGCTTTTGTATCATTTGACAAACAACGGGTAATTGTAGTGACCAATGTGCTTACATTCCTTTGGTTTATAATATAAATCAAAGGTAAATTGCCATCCCACGAATAGATCCAAACAAATTGGTCAATATGTTTCCATCTCATACAAAGTTCTTTCTGGTTTTAATATGCAGCACCTGGCCACTCAAAATTCCAGCCGAGGATACTCTAAGTAACAGTTTTAGTTGTTTTGTTTGGATTTGTTTTTTCTTATTTGAAGATCAGCCTGTTGTACACACAAACACATCAGTCTGTTGTACACACAAACACATCAGTCTGTTGTACACACATTAAGTATTCGTTTGTTCTCCAACTCGGTGATGCTCATGGGTCAGCCGCCATCAAGTTTATTTTGATGTGTGGCTTTGAATGTTTTACCCATTCATTCATTCAATCATTTTCACTGAACAGCTGCTAATGTTGAACCTGCAGTTTGTCTAAGTTAGATGCGTGATTTTTCTGAAGTGGGTGTACTACGATCTGCTCTCAAAGTGAAGACAAGATTAGAAGACAAGATAAGGTCCTTTGGCTTTTAGGTAGTTTTTATCGAGTAAATTCGATCGTTTCTACAATTCATGCTGACTAATAGACTAATAGCACTTTGTGGCAAGAATAAAGGGAAAAGAGCAAGCGTTATTTTCTTGTTTTGTTGTGGATCTTTTGCAAACAGAAAAATTGTGATAACATTGTCCCTTGCTAAAGTAATTGTCTCTGATAACAAAGAAAAAAGTAAATATACCACTCGTCTTGTTAATTTATGCCTTATCATTTCTTAGATTGCTTTCAGGGGAATCTACTTCACTTGGGCGCACGTGTGTGTGTGTGTGTGTGTGTGTGTGTGTGTGTGCGTGCGTGCGTGCGTGTGTGTGTGCGTGTGTGTGTCTGAGTGTGAGTGAGAGAGAGAGAGAGAGATAGAGAGAGAGCACATTTGTATGTGTGCAATATTTGTTTTTGTAATGCACACAAGTGTGAAAAGAAGAGGGTATTGAAAGGTGTAAGGACGGAGAAGAGAGACAAAAAAAGGTGAGGATAGTTGACGGAAAAGAACAAAATCAGCCATGCTGTCCAATACTCATGCGTCCCCATTTCAAGCACACCTGGGCCTCTGGATGCATTTTTAGACCAGGGTGGGGAGAGGGGGGAGTGGTGGGTGGATAAACTTTGTTGTTCAGCCAGTCTCTTGTCACAGCCGATCGCTCTGCTGATGTCTCCCAAAACTCTTTATACAATAGTCCTACGTTCCTCCTACCTTCTGATGCTGTTTCTTCCTCACAGTTCCTTTACAAAACATTGCTGCTACTACTTTGTGTAATCAAAGTCACTGTATTATTTTTTTACGTACAGAAATAGTAGTACCGATTTTTAGTAGGTGGGTAACTATTTTTTATACATTTTTCTTGCCTTTACTTTTGCTGAAATTCGCAGCATCTTCTTATTCATGATATATTATTATCAGTTGCCTTTTTACTGCTGTACAACCAACACACAATGGTACTCTTTTTATTGAGAAATAACTTACAAAGAAAGAAACAAACTTCCTCAAATGTTATGTATGGTATTAACGCATGATGTGTATTATATTATTATTCTCCTTAATAAATGTGGAAAACGTGTCTTATGTAAATGTTAACTATGTCATGTACATGTACATTCATATAAATCCTTTATTTCCTGAGGATAGATTGTAACCCTGATGACGTCACGTCCCTCGAGGGTTAATGCTTTGCCTTACTTCTTCTTCGTTTCATCGCTCGTAATCCCTTACGCTTTTAGCTGTGCATTGATGTAGTCGGTGTTTACCATGGTGCTTAACAGAAGTTACTCATTTGTGGTTTGCAACATTCTTTAGAAAAAGCGTCCGTCAAAACCATGCTCTTCGCAGTCAACATCACCTTTAAAATGGTATAAATTATGATCAAATAAACAGCCCAGGAGCAACATTTTTAAAACAAAACGAAAACGAAAACAAACAAAAACTGTCTGGCGTTTGAAGACCTTTTTGGTGAAGGAAACAACTCTGGATCAATTCCTTGCCGGAAGTAGTGTCACCAGACAGAGACTCACTTCCGGTGAAGCGAAGCCACAAATTTAGCTCCGTTTAGGCTGTCTTTGGAGTGGTTTTCGAGCAGTGTGAAAGCGAGCCAAAAGATCTTTCGCAGATCATTGATGGAGACAGCAGACATCTGACCCGCAGATCTGTATGCTCCTTTCATGATCTCTCTAAAGATAGACTAGATGTTTGAGAACTGATTTATGTCTGTGTTTAATTGATTTACTGAATTTTTAGATTCCTGGAGACTTTCCGCTGGGCTATTCCCAAAGGCTGTCCATTTTTTAAGGATGATGCATTATAAATGGTTAAAAAAATAAACTTTCCTCTCAACTATTGTTCAGGCTTTTTTCTCTTAGTTTTTGCTTATGATTGAGATGAAAAGAAAATCAATTCATCGGAGTTTTTAGTTACTTTGCAACAACTGTTGCCTTGAATATCAGCCCCTTAGTGAGCTGTGGAGAGAGAGAGAGAGAGAGAGGGAGAGAGAGAGAGAGAGGGAGAGGGCGAGAGAGAGAGAGAGTGTGTGTGTGTGTGTGTGTGTGAGTAAGTGAGTGAATGGG